CCCAAAGCGTAGCCGATATCACGGAAAGTGTTGACATTTGATACCCGACTATAACTAGTGCTATAGATTTGCTGTAAAGTCATTATCGATTGACCCGATGTATAGTTATTGAATTGCTTTATATTTAGGATACAAAGCATAATTTATTATTAATGTATATTGCATTGTTTTTAAATTGTTGATTTGTTTATTTACATATAGACAATAAACGAGTCCCAAAATTGTTGTCAACACATATTTATAAGTGTTTGATATGTTTGGTAAGGTTGTGCTCTCGGTATGAACCATCTTAATTGCAGTCATTTTTAACCACAATCTTACAAACTAATAGATTAATAATATTATTAGGTATTGTTTAAATTAATGTTAAATTATTATTGTATTATCATCAAGAAAATATAAGATCATCATGTTTATATAAAGATTTTGATAAGTAAAATATTATTAAATTTATTAAAATAATAATTAAATATTAAGCAAAGTGTACAGTGCTAAACATTCAACCATGATTGCTTTCTAATTTGCTTAATTGTCACTCGATTATTAATAAAAGTCACAAATTGTTTGTTAATTTAGATATATTACTAACTTTACTTACAAGTTAGATGTTTTGTAACAAAGTAATCGTTATATAACTCTATATGATTTATACTTTACTAACTTGTAATTATTATTTAATTAGTAATTAACCTTATTATAATTTAAACGGCTTAACATTAAATGAGATGTTCAGTTCATTACTGATAATAATTATAAAGATTATTTAGTTTTTAAAGATATCTGATGTCAATCACACGTACAGGTGTTCACATATACTGTACACACATAATCGGGTGTAAACACAGTTTGCCCCTATGTATACATTTTTATAGAGTATTGCCATTGCATTTCAATGTGTGTACAGCATATGTGAACACCTGTAGGGGTGCTGTGCGTTGCTGTACGTCTGATGTCAGTCAAGTGAAGGTTTAATGACATTCAAAATTTTCTTATTTTACAAGGTATTATTTTTAATTTATGTATAAAATTATTATAATCCTGAAAAATACAGTCATCTAACAAATTTATTAACGGTTAGATTAAGTTAACATGGTCTATACTTGATTATCAAGGTGTAAAATAACTTTGACGGTAAAACAAGTGTGTAAAATATTTATTCGAAATCTTAAATATTATTTTGCATAACTCCTAAATGACGTTTTAAAAAGGTAAGAAAAACATAATTAAACGTGATTGTCAATATTGATTATTAAAAACATCATATTTGTAACATAATAATTATTATCTGATAGATAAATGAAATGAAAATGCAAGGTTTTGGTTAACAACGGAAAAAGTAACTTTTTAATTATAAGAAAGCTACCTACCGGATTTCAATCAAATTTATTGCATTTTAAAAATAAAATTAGGGATATTAATATATGTTATTTTGTAAATTTTATTCATTTATCATATTATATTTAAGTTTTTAATTAAAACTATTTTAGTGAAATTTTCATCCATAATTAAAATATTAAAAGGAAATACTGTATTAACCACATTCATAACATTGATATTTTTACCCACAATACGGATAACAAAAATTGTAAAGCATTGGTACGTTATAGTGCTCGTAGAGGTACTAAAGTATTACTACAGTTAAGAGTATACATTTGAAATGCACTTAAATCCATCAATGTTATAAACACTTGTGTTCTCACTGATAGCCTATCAGTACTTATATTTACAATAAGAATACATTTAAGTACAGTATGCTCAGCAAAATATTGGTATATAAGTGAGAGAATTCATTGAAAAATTACAAGTAAAAAGTTTATTGTATTTCAATCAAAAAATTAATTTAGTGAATACTGAAAATCATGTCTTCTAATGATATCAAAGCATATTTTGAAGTGAAAAATTCACGTGATTTCACGGGTAAAGTAGTGTTGGTCACCGGTTCGAGCTCTGGTATAGGCGAGGGTATTGTCAAACTGTTTGCTATATTGGGGGCCAATGTTGTGGTCACCGGTCGTAATGAGACGGAGATTCAAAGAGTGGCCAAAGAAGTGCTGGAATTGTCACCAAATAAATTAAAGGTATTATAGATATTAACATAACTGCATAAAATATCTAAAAGTGAGTTTTAGAGCTAATTAATGACAAAATATTATATTTCTACAGCCATTACAAGTGTCGGCAGATTTAACCAAAACTGATGACATTAAGAAATTAATTGACGAAACAATTAAAACGTTTGGAAAATTGGATGTTTTGGTAAATAATTCAGGAATTGTCCCAAATTTAGACATTCACGACAAGAATGTGATGGAAGAATGGGATAAAGTTATGAATATTGATTTGAGAGCTGTCGTAGAGGTGATCCACTCGGCTGTCCCACACCTGGAGGCGTCCAAAGGTGTCATTATTAACATCTCGAGCGGTGCCGGTGTTATGCCTGTAAGTTAAAAACTTATAGGCTATAAGTTTTAGCTCATTTAGTTTATATTATGTTAACTATAAAGTAGATTAGAAAAGTATATTTTTCAAATACCATTAATACATTAGAATTGTGTATTTATAATTATTATTGTTTAACATTTATCATATTTAAAATTTAGAGTAGAGGCAAATTGGGATATCATTGTGCAAAAGCTGGTTTAAATATGTTAACCCGAGTACTGGCCCTACAGTTGGCTCCCAAAGGGGTTAGAGTTAATACTGTTAGGTATTTAAAAATTCATACAGTATTAATTTTTATAAATTATGTAAATTATAATTAACTATCAAATATTTATACTTAAAGTCCGGGTGTAACTAAAGTGCCTGCAATGCCTGCCGGACGCGAACAGGTATACGAGCCATATATACCGCTCCGGTCTGTTGGTTATCCACTGGACATCGCGAAAGCCGTAGTGTTTATGGCGTCGACTGACTCTCAATACATAACCGGAGATCTAATGGCAGTCGACGGAGGATTTCTCCTCAACGTTCCCAACAAACCTTATGATTAATAATTATTTATAATAAATTAATTATTTTTTTAACATTTTAATTTTTAATATAAAATAATTTATATAATTATGTTATTATGAAATATACAATAAAAATTAGTATTTTAATTAAGTTATGCTAATTAATTGTGAATGAAAAACACATGTAATATTATAACTTATTGGTCATTAAAACCTATTACATATAAAATCATTTAAATTTTTACGAAATAACAGTAAATTTCTAAGTTTTTAAAATAGAACCGATTTCTATGCAAATATCTGGTCAATTATAGAAGTAATTACTTATAAACTAGACGCGTTGATATATTTAGATTATATTTAATTTAAATTTATTTTGCACTGACTTGTGAGTAAATATAAAGTATATTATATTTTGTTTAATTGTTTGGCTGTAAAATGTATACTTGGATTGGAATTATATAGCAGTGCTAAGATTGTTAATTAAAATGTGCAAATTAACTACTTTAATAAATAAAGTAGAATATTAATTGTATGATTTAGTGCAGTGCGATAATAATAGTACCTATAAGACTTTAACATTTACATCGTTGAAGGTAGAAAAGTAAGATCAAGATTGCACTAAATTTATTTATGCAAGTACTGGCATTTGTTGAAAATTTTGTGGGAAATTTAACTTTAATTTACAGGTGTGTTAACCGTATATAAGGTGATAGTACAAAGTTGTTTAGATATTCACTTTTACACTAGTTTTAAAATTTAATTTTTATTAACTATGAAGTTTGTATTATTGTTGGCGTTGTTTTCTATCGTGAAAGCAAATATATTATTCAATGACTTTGATATTCAACACTACAAAGATGTAATACAATCGCGTAATTTTACCGACAAAGTAGTGTTGATCACGGGTTCGAGCTCTGGTATAGGCGAGGGTATCGCCAAACTGTTTGCCGTATTGGGGGCTAAAGTGGTGGTCACCGGCAGAAAAGAGGCCGACGTTCATAAAGTGGCCCTCGAGTTGGAAAAGCTATCCCCGTATAAGATCAAGGTATGCAGTAATAAATATAGCAAGATGTCATCATTTGATTAAAACCAAAAACATGTTCATTTATTACAACAGCCCTTAGAAGTTGCGGCGGATTTGACTAAATCTGAAGACATCAATAGATTGGTTGAACAAACCATAAAGACTTTTGGAAAGTTGGATGTATTGGTGAACAACGCCGGCGCCGGAAAAGCCACTCTTATCGGTGATCCGGATTTGTTGAAGTCGTGGGACTTTACTTTTGGGATTGACTTAAGAGCTGTCGTCGAGCTGACCCACGCCGCTGTGCCATACCTGGAGAAAACAAACGGCACTATTATTGACACTTCCAGTATTGCAGCAACATATCCGGTATGACAATTGTTTATGACACCTGTTTACATAACTCACCTATTAAATTGATCATGTTATATTAATACACTTAATTACTATATTAGATGAAGGGCTCTTCGGCCTACAACTGTGCCAAAGCCGGTCTCAATATGTTGGCTGAGGTTCTGGCACTGGAATTGGGCCCCAAAGGCATTCGTGTCAATACTATTAGGTATTTATTATATGATGTGATAATTAAATACATTTTACATCATGGTAGTATAATATATTTTGTATAAATCTAAAGCCCGGGCTTTACTGAAGTGGACACCCATTCACTTCCACCCGACGTACAGAAATTAATTGTAAAACAAACTCCACTTCGACGCGTCGGCCAACCGTTAGATATGGCTAAAGCTGTGGCATTTCTGGCCTCAACCGACGCCCAGTTTATTACCGGCGCTAATATTGTAGTCGACGGCGGAATTATTTATAATATGCCAACCATTTCGTAATTAATAAATATTATCTTGAATCTATATTTAATATTGATATTTCTTATTTTAAAATATAAAACCTTAATTTTAGTTAGATTAAATGTTTTCTATTGTTATGTCGAGGTAATGCTATAAACTCTAGACATGTAAATTTCTCTATGACATATGTGGGTTAGATTATTAATAACTTTACAGATATTAGATTTAAGATAACAGATTTACTTATTACCGGTACTATTAGAACTTCTAATTTAGAAGTGATATTTAATAACAATAAATTTCACATATAATTACTTAATTAATGTCAAATTTGCGTACAGTTTTTTACAGTTCGCGCACCTATTTCTCACCCTTACCTATAAATCGATATTATTGACCAGAGTGTGAGTTATAGTTATATGCATTTAATTAACAAAACCATTAACTGAATTAAGCACTTTATTTAATTTAGTAAAATACAATTTTATAGTAATAAGTTACTTTTTATACTAGTGCTTTGATGTTTAACCTTCATCGCACTATTATCGTTATTATGTAAGTGCATGTGCACCAATAGTTAACATACAATATTGTATATTAAATATCTGTATGTTTTATTTACATGAAAAGTTTGTTAAGCATTAGTACGTTATAGTGCGGGTAGAGGTGCTGTAGTTAATGTTAAATATAATGGTAGTCGACGGCAGATACTCTACAAATATCCTCCCAAATTATTTGAATAATTGATACAATTATTTTAATATTTATATTTTAATTAAAAATATACAGAATTTTAGTTTTGCAATAATATTATATGACAATTATTATTTTAAATTACACTGTACTTGAATTTAAATATTTTCGTAAAATTAAAATACTTACAAATATGTTATTTTACACTTATTACTATTATATGCAATTGTTTAAAACCAAATTACATTTATTAAATTCGCTTTATATTTAAACTAAATTCATTGTCAAGATCATTTCAAGCAATGTTAAGAATTACCATATTACTAAGCGATTGTAATTATCAATACAAACAGTACCTAGTGCAATAGCATTATTTTCGTTTAAAAAATCAACTGTAATTTTCACATGATTTATAGTCTTATTCTTAAATGATTAAAAGTTTTAGACCAATAACTTATATAAATATACCCAATTGTGTTTTTCCTAAAATTTGTGGGAATTTTATTTCTAAATCACGTCTGTTTTTAATATGCAGTAAAGTATTGATAATATATAAATAAATACAATATATAAATAACAGATTTCATAAATACATGAGTAACTTTTAGTTAAGCATAATAATTTTAATTTAATTATAATCTAATTAATAGATAACTATATAAATAATTATGAAATTTGTATTACTGTTAGCGTTATTTTCAGTAGTGAAAGCAAATGAATTATTTAAAGATTTTGATATTCAACACTACAAAGATGTGATACAATCGCGTAATTTTACCGACAAAGTAGTGTTGGTCACCGGTTCGAGCTCTGGTATAGGCGAGGGTATCGCCAAACTGTTTGCCGTATTGGGGGCTAAAGTGGTGGTCACCGGCAGAAAAGAGGCCGACGTTCATAAAGTGGCCCTCGAGTTGGAAAAGCTATCCCCGTATAAGATCAAGGTATGCAGTAATAACAATAGCAATAAAAATATTGAAACAAATAATATATAAAAATATATCTATTGATAATATATACAGCCCTTAGAAGTTGTGGCGGATTTGACTAAATCTGAAGACATCACAAGATTAGTGGATCAAACCATTAAGACTTTCGGAAAGTTGGATGTGTTGGTGAACAACGCGGGCGGCGGTGCGTCTACTTATATCTGGGACTCAGGATTGTTGGCCGCTTGGGATCAGATATTTAACATTAATTTGAGAGGTGTTGTTGAGCTGATCCACACTACGGTACCACATCTGGAGAAGACTAACGGAACTATTATTGACACATCCAGTATCGCCGGTATAGCACCGGTATGCTTTTTACTATATTATGCATTATTCTACAATGTACATTGTAGAATTTACAGCAGATAATGTTAAATTACCTTATTCTAGTTCTCAGATATGGTGGCTTACAGTAGCGCCAAAGCAGCCCTAACTATGTTGGCTAAAGTATTGGCCCTTGAATTAGGCCCCAAAGGCATACGTGTGAATACTCTCAGGTAGGCTCTTACAAGGAAACTTGGTCTTGTGCCCCGAAGATATCTTGATGAATTGTGTATATTCTGGTAGAATAGAGCATAAAAAATAATTTAGACACAATATTTTTTGCTGATACTCATCCGGGGGGTTGTGGGAGGCGTTTGAACAATTGAGATGCATAGAGTAAATGCATAGCCAAATCCCCTGCAAGTGTGCATCCCCTCTGCACACCCTATGCATTACCACTATGCATCTCAAGTGTTCAAACGCCTCCCACAACCCCCCGGGTGAGTATCAGCAAAAAATATTGTGTCTAAATTATTTTTTATACTCTATTCTACCAGAATATACACAATTCATCAAGATATCTTCGGGGCACAAGACCAAGTTTCCTTGTTAGATAAGCAGATAACAACACACATAAATTAACCATGTGCTCAATTTGCAGTCCAGGCTATACTGAAGTGAACAGCTGGTCATTTCCACCAGAATTGAAAAAGTTAGTCATAAAACAGACACCACTTAAACGTCTTGGAGAGCCCTTAGATATGGCTAAAGCGGTGGCATTTCTGGTAGTCCAGGCTATACTGAAGTGAACAGCTGGTCATTTCCACCAGAATTGAAAAAGTTAGTCATAAAACAGACACCACTTAAACGTCTTGGAGAGCCCTTAGATATGGCTAAAGCGGTGGCATTTCTGGCCTCATCTGATGCTGACTTTATTACCGGCGCTAATATCGTGGTCGACGGCGGCATTATCTACAACTTACCTAGCGAATAATCTATTTAACCATGAAAATTACTAGTTAAAATAATTTTTAATTAATTGTAATATTATTAGTTGTGATACAATTTAATTAGTGTTTTTATTAAATGAATTCTAAAAGCATCATGGTCCATTCCATAATAATTATGTCAATAAATTGTTTTGCATTAGCAGAAATTCTTAATGAGAACTAAATAATTAAAAGCCATAAGGTGGTTTTATCGCTAATTAAATTTACTTTCACCAAAATCATGTGCCTGTAAACTTTACAATGACAAGTATAACCGTACCTAAAATAATACTTATCTTATTATTTTAATTCAAACATTTTATGTTTTAAACAATTGAATGGGAAGTAAGTCACAAAACCCAGATGTTTTATTAACGCATATAAAGACACGAGAATAAAAATAATTTTAAACATATATTTGTTTCAAAATAATAACTTTTATTTTATGATTAATTAATTCATAATTACAACAATGAAGTTTTTATTAGTGTTGGCGTTGTTTGCTGTGGTGAAAGCAAATGAATTAATTAATGAATATTCAACACTATAAAGATGTGATACAATCGCGAAATTTTACCGACAAAGTAGTGTTAAATTAATTGACATACAATAGTGCCAAAGCGGCACTCAATATGTTGGCTAAAGTTTTGGCTCTTGAACTTGGTCCTAAAGGCATTCGTGTGAATACTATCAGGTACGTTTATGCAATAGTAACAATTCATGTATTAATTAGCACATATTTATATTTATTAGTCCCGGTTATACTGAAGTCGAGAGTCATTTACTTCCGCCTGATTTTAGGAAAATAATTGAAAAACAAACACCACTTAAACGTATTGGACAACCGCTAGATATGGCTAAAGCGGTGGCATTTCTGGCCTCATCTGATGCTGACTTTATTACCGGCGCTGAAATAATGATCGACGGCGGACTTATCTATAACTTACCAAGCCAATAATTTTTCTATTAAAGTAACTTTACTCAAATAAAATTGAATTAAATTGAATTTGTATGTTTTGCTTTGAGGTAATTGAAAATGTCCTTAAAATACTAACTTAATCTTTAACTAACGCTAACTTATTAATAATTAATAATTTTAGAACCTGATTAGGAAATTAAACATTTAGTAAAATTATAATCTCCTACAGCAATTTTTTGTAACAGTTAATCCATTATAATTAATATTTACTTAATTATTAAATGAAATTCTTATTTTTATACAAAGTATTATATTTTCGTAATTGACAATAATTGTTAATAATAATTATTATTAATTGTATTTTTAAACTAATTATAATACAATATAACATTAATATAAATTAGATTATGCATTTGTTACAGTTAGCAAATTGAAAGTAAAATTTTAATTACAATTATTACTAATGATAATTCTCACATACTTGTTTATATCATGTGAAAATTACATATGATTTTTATACTAAAATATTATCATTTTTTGGGGACAGTTTGTTCCCGAGTGTATCATTACATTTACAGATTGTCGTAAAATCTTTTGCTATCTATTTGTGGGATTTTTAAATTTAATTCACATCTGTATTAACAGTATATAATTCAAACAATAAATGAAGATCATCTTATATTAAAAATTTAATCCGTATTTAGTTTTGATTCAATTAATATCAATAATGAAGTTTACATTACTGTTTGCGCTGTTTTCTATAGTGAAAGCAAATGAATTCAATGACTTTGATATTCAACACTATAAAGATGTGATACAATCGCGTAATTTTACCGACAAAGTAGTGTTGGTCACCGGTTCGAGCTCTGGAATAGGCGAGGGTATTGTCAAACTGTTTGCCGTATTGGGCGCTAAAGTGGTGGTTACCGCCAGAAAGGTGGCCGACGTTCATAGAGTGGCCCTCGAGTTAGAAAAATTATCTCCCTATAAGATCAAGGTAATTAATAATAAAATTAGTAAATAATTAAAATATTTAATAAAATATAAATGTCAATACATGTTAATACAGCCCTTAGAAGTTGCGGCGGATTTGACTAAACCTGAAGACATTAATAGATTGGTTGAACAAACCATAAAGACTTTCGGAAAGTTGGATGTATTGGTGAACAACGCGGGCATAGGTTTGGCCACTTTTATTAAGGACACGGGACTAATGGCTACATGGGATCAAGTGTTTAACGTTGATTTGAGAGCTGTTATTGAGCTAACCCACTCTGCCGTCCCATACTTGGAAAAGACCAACGGAACTATTATCGACACATCCAGTATTTTAGACACAGCACCCGTATGTAAACTAAATGATTACACATTAATTAATATAACTATTAGGCATAACTACTAAATATAATTAATATAATGATTATAACAATTATTGTTAATATCAATTTATCCCAACATCAGAGATTAAGTGCAATGGCTTATAATTGTGCCAAAGCAGCCCTAACTATGTTGGCTAAAGTGTTGGCCCTTGAATTGGGCCCCAAAGGCATACGTGTGAATACTATCAGGTACATTTTATACATTATATTATAAATTATATTAATATAATTTATATTTATAGTCCAGGTTTTACTGAAGTTGAGAGCCATTTATTTCCACCCGATTTTAAAAAGTTGGTCGAAAAACGGACACCACTTAAACGTATTGGACAACCGCTAGACATGGCTAAAGCGGTGGCATTTCTGGTCTCATCTGATGCTGACTTTATTACCGGCGCTAATATTGTAGTCGACGGAGGAATTATCTACAACTTCCCTAGCACATAATTATCATGATAATTGTGCTTCAATAAAACAACATTTAACATGACTATTTGTTATTGTAATAATTAACTTTTATTATAAATTAAATAATTATTTGAAAGTTTTGATTTTTACTAAAACTGCTTTACTAAAACTGATTTTTACTGTACGTGTATATTACCTTATAAATCAAGGTTAGTTTTTTCTCAACAAAACTATATTAAGATATTAAAATTACATCATTCAATAACAATATATAAAACAACTTGCTTTTTTATCAACTAATTATTTATAATTTATTAATAATGAACTAATAATCAATATATTTACAGTAAGTACAGTAACAATTATATATTATTAATCTTAATAGTATTAATATTAATAATCTACCTTGTTAGTAATATTAATCTACAATATACGGTATAAATAATATCAAAGTGTGTTTACTTAAAATAATTGTTAATGACATCAAAAAACATATCAATTGATTTAGTAATGAATGATATCTGAAACAGTTAATGTACCACAAATTATGATTAATCCCTTAAGGCTTAAGCCATAATTAACCAAACGGTCGGATTAATATCAGGCACAAATGCACTTCAATTCAAATCAAATAAATTGTCCGCAAATACTGGTATATTTTATACCATATTTAACACAAACAATTAGAGTATAAATAGTCGGACAAATGAGCGTAAATTAATTAAAATAAGTTAAAACTAATACAAACCCTATTGTAATAATTGTTTACTTTAACAAAGAAAATAAAACTTATCAAATATGAAGTTTGTATTACTGTTGGCATTGTTTTCAATAATAAAGGCAAATGAATATTTGCCTGAATTCAAGGATTTCACGTACGATGACTACAAAGCTGTGGCCCAATCGCGTAACTTTACGGACAAAGTGATCTTGGTCACCGGCTCGTCATCGGGTATCGGCGCCGAAATCACTAAACTATTCTCCATTCTGGGCGCCCGAGTGGTGGTCACCGGCCGTAAGGCACCCGAAGTAGAGAAAGTGGCCAAAGAGGTCCAGGAGTTGTCGCCAAAGCAATTAAAAGTATACAAAAAAATCTTGCTTAGCTTCTAATTAGTTTTAATTAATAATTATTAATTAATTAAAAGCCGTTACAAGTGGTCGCGGATTTGACCAAAACCGAGGACTTAAACCGACTGTTGGACGAGACGATCAAGACGTTTGGCAAACTGGATGTGTTGGTGAACAATGCGGGCATTTATTTCAACACAACCATCGGTGACGCAAATCTGTTGACAAAATGGGATCAGATATTTGCCATCGATCTGAGAGCAGTCGTACAACTCATCCAACAATCGGTTCCGCATTTGAAGAAAACAAACGGCACTATAATTGACATCTCGGCCATTGAGGGCACTCGACCCGTAAGTATTGCTATTATAAATAAATATATGTTACTTTACATATAACATTAATTTTTATTATAATTACTAATTATTTATTATTAGCGTATAATTAAATATTTATATAATTAATCAAATATTTGTTAGTTATGATTATTGATGATGATAAATGACAAATGATGATAGTGTACATTTAATAACAAACAGATGCTAAACTATATGGCTTACGACGCGGCCGTTGCGGCCAGAGATATGATGGGTAAAGTGGTGGCCATGGAGTTGGGCTCTAGTGGTGTTAGAATTAACTCGCTCAGGTATTAATTACTTAAACATAAATATTAATTACTTGAGTTAACCTAATTACATAAAACAAAATGCTTGTGTTAGTCCCGGATTCATACTGCACAAGGACATAAAGGTGCCCATAGACAAGCAAGAGCAAATTAAAAAGGAGACACCGTTGGGTAGACCGGGCTTTCCGTTGGACATCGCCAGAGGGGTGGCATTCCTGGCCTCGAGTGACGCCCAGTTCATCACTGGAATCAATCTCGTAGTCGATGGCGGACTGATCTTCAATATGACGCCCATATAAAATCACATTTATGGTGTGTTGCAATTGTTTTTAACTGTACATGTTATTCAAATTAATTGTAATTTTAATTTAATAATGTTTAATTAAAATAAAATTATTAAGTTGTACTAAATTATTGTGTAATATCTAATTAATATCTAATAAATGATAGAGACTATGGCTTAAGTGGTAGTCTATCGGATATGGTTTGAAGTAGTCATAAGTAAATACAATATTTTTGATAAAAATGGGATTAAATATAATCTAATTTCTAATGACATTGTTTATTTAACATTGAAATGATAGGTAGTTATAATTAATGAAAGTGAAACACATTAAATAAAACTTATTTTGATAAATGATTTGTTTGTCTCCTTATCTGATCCGTAAACGACATCATTTATTGCAAAATAAGTTATTTTAAATAACTCTTGAGATCACTTATACTAATGGATTGTTACACATAAATACAATTAACTAAAGTTTGTGTATTTGTATTATATTATTTATTAATTAACAAATTGGTTTTTAAATATATTTAATTAAAGTGACACAATTATTTGAAAATTTACCACAAATGTAAATTTACAAAAACATACACTTTATGTTAATAAAAATTTATATTTTAAATCACTTATTATCACTAAATTATTGTACATTTAGCTGTGTGAAAGTAGCATATGACATATTTTGTAGATGATAAGTACTTTTTAATCAATATAATTACAATTAGCAACTAAAATAGTAATTTAATTAGCGCATTTATAGTTATTCTATTGATTTAATAAGTTAATTATTATAAATTGCAATGAAATTGTTAATGTTATTAACATTATGTTTAACAGTAAACGCAAATCAATTCAATGATTTTGATATTAAAGACTATCTCAAAGTGAAAACATCGCGAAATTTTACCGACAAAGTAGTTTTGGTCACCGGTTCGAGCACTGGTATAGGCGAGGGTATTGTCAAACTATTTGCCATATTAGGGGCCAAAGTGGTGGTCACCGGTCGTAATGCAACAGAGATAGCCAAAGTGGCCCAAGAAGTGCAACTATTATCACCCGAAGGGTTAAAAGTATTAATAAATTACAATTAATTTTATACATTTTAATCAATATTGCATTTTAAATGCCAATTATATAAAGCCATTACAAGTGGTGGCAGATCTCGGCAAAAGCGATGACATAAACAAATTGATTTCGCAAACTATCAGTACGTTTGGCAAATTGGATGTATTGGTCAACAACGCCGGCGTTTACCCGATGTCACCCATTGATGACACAAACTTCATGAAGACTTTTGACCAGGTGTTTAACATTGACCTCCGGGCCATCGTTGAGACTATTCAGATATCGGTGCCATATATGGCCAAAACTAACGGCACAATTATTAACATATCCAGTATCGCTGCCCTCCATCCGGTATGTTATCATAATGATTATTGATTAGCTTAATTATTTATATTAATTAAATTCTATTTATCATGATTAACTATAAAAGTCAACCCCGTTTCTGGCCTACAGTTCAGTGAAGGCGGCCCTCGATATGCTGACCCGTGTGTTGGCCCTCGAGTTGGGTCCCCGCGGTATTCGTGTCAATACTATTAAGTAAGTGATTAAACTTAATTGATAATGGTGATTTTGTTTAAAGCAAACTAATTAAATTGCATTATTATTTAATGTAATAAATGTATTAATTGTTTGTTATGTATAGTCCGGGAACCATTCAAGTTCCACACATGGATATGAGTGTTGATTTGATTAAGAAAATGGTTAAAAATATAATCAATTTGACACCACTTGAACGACTCGGACAACCCCTGGATGTGGCCAAAGGGGTGGTATTCCTGGCATCCAGTGATGCTGACTTCATAACGGGTGCTAATATTGTGGTCGATGGTGGCTTCGGCTTTAATGACCATGGTTATTTTATGGATATATTTAAATAAATTAAATTATTAAGTTAGTGTAATTCAATGATTTAAATAAAATATTATTTTATTTGTAACCAAGACATGTATGTCTTATTTAATACACAATTTATTTAGTAGTTATCATAAAAGTTGAGTCCAGATTATAGCTGAGGCCTCCGTCTATCACCACATTCTGACCGGTAATGAACTCGGCGTCAGTCGAGGCCAGAAATGCCACCCCTTTGGCCAAATCCATGGGCACTCCTATGCGACCCAACGGAGTATGACTGACCGACTTGTTATAACGGGCCACAGCTATTGGATCCGTTTGATTGAGTGGATGCGACTGAACTGCCCCCTGACTATAATTATAATCATGTTAAAAATTATTAAAATACACTAGATTAACCAGGATAAGTTTTTATTCGTGCCTGATACTATTAACTCTGATGTGCTGTTGTGCCAACTCTATCGAGAGTAGTTGAGTGGACAACTCGAGGGCCTGTTTTGCCATCTCGTAGGCCAACATTGATTTTTGCTGTTATTGTTTAATCATGGTCAATGTAAATAATTGCGATCATCGCAATAAGTGCAATCACATAAATTGTGTTGTTTATTGTATTACTTACCGGATGTTTGGTCAAAACGCTGGACACATTAATAACAGTGCCGCTGGTTTTCTCGAGGTATTGGACGGCACTCTGGATCAGCTGAAGAGCGGCCCGAGTGTCCACTTTCTCGAAAGCGTCGAAAATGTCCAAATATCTCGGGTCCGCCACATCTGCCAACAGATATAGCCCGGCGTTGTTTACCAATACGTCCAGTCGGCCAAATGACTTCACCGTTTCGACCAATAGGTGTGTCAACTGATCCATTTTGGTCAGGTCTGCCACCAAACCCAATGGCTATAAATGGCATAATAACCATCATGTTTATTATTATTATACGATATACAAGTGTTAAGTAAGTCAACAAATATTAAGTATTTATACCTTAAGTCCTTTAGGAGACAGCGCTTGCGCTTCTTTGACCACCCGTTGAATGTCTGTGTCCTTAAGACCGGTCACCACAACGTTTGCGCCCAAAGCCGAGAATAGTTTGACGA